CGGAAGTTTGCAGCGGGAGGGAGATAATTAAAGATTGTTTTGTCTTATAGTTTTTATTTCGTTGAGCTTTTAAAGTTAAATTTCCCGAATAGAAAAAGTAAAAATGAACTTTTTACATGAAAACCTAGGGTAACGGTTATTTAAAAAATGGGCCTGTTAATAATTTGCCAATGTTTAAAGCCGGTGTTGCGCATGCGTCTCAGCTGAAATGTTTTATATACGAGGACACATAGTTAGGCTGCTGGATTCCAACTCTGTATTCTCTGCTTTAAATTTTCGCTCACACCAGGAGATGTTTATCTGCAGTCTTAGTTCAAAGATAGGAAATGCTTTTAAAAAACAGCCCACATTCGATACAAAAATTCAGCTTATGGAGAGTTTTGACGGACACAAACAAAGAAAATAAATAAGCATAATTATTTATATATTATTTTTGGTTTCGTGTTCTTCATGGCTCGCTATCTGCTGAATTTAAATATATCGAAAGTGGGCTGTCGGTTATAAATTGTCATGTTTGTTTAGAAAGGTCCCTTGAAGATGTATGTTAATTAAAAAATATTTGCCATATTTTAACGTAGCTGTCCCGGTTGGCCTTACGAGAATATATATATATTTTTAAGGATTAACAGCAGATATGAAGTTAGAAATTCTCTTAATAATACAGGTTTGTGCTGTCGTTTTCATATTTCCAACTGCCATTTAGTCAGGCAAAAGCGTTTTCTACAAGGTGGTTACGCTCTTTTATAACTTTTCTTTACAGAGTCTCCTAGCTGGTACAAAGGCAACTGTTAACCGTAAGTGTTAATTAAAATGTTTTTGGTGTGGTGGACCATTTGATTGCAATCCAAGCCAAAACTTAAAAAGTCTTCGTAGTATCCCTATTATATCCTGCTCTATTTCAGGAAGAGATTATTAGTATCATTTCATCACGAACGGTACAGACAACTTTTATTCCTGATTGAGGAGATCTTTTTTGTGTTGAAAGCCAGTTCAAATATACAAGTTTCTTACACCCTTTTCACGATGGGTACTTTACGACATTACCTATGACTAGCTGCTCGCAGTTGGTTTAGTAGTTCATCTGGCTACAGCAATGTACCTACATAGGGAGGGTACAAAGCCCGTTAAAGGGTGAGTTTTAAATACTTTCAGGCTTAAACAAACACACAACTGTTTAAGATGCGTGTGCATAACTGCAAGCCAAGGCCTTTTATGTTGAAATTTATGAATTTGACACATCCTTTCACTGAATGCATGATCTGTCAAAACAACGCATGACGTCAATGATTGCCTGAAGCTGTGTACTGAATATATAACATTTGTTAACAGCTAGTGTATGTATCATGACAGGGTCAGGAGACAATGTCCTTCTTCTAACGGCTAATTTGACCCTTTGTTAAAGAAAACGAAAAAAGAAAATTACATGTTTAGTGAAAATATCAAAATCGGTGAAACAATTGATTCTTTGAATAGTCATTTTCAAAGATATTCAGTTCTTCCGTCACAGGTACAACAGGTAAACCTGTCACAATTTTGACAAATTTTTCTCTTACAACAGCCGGCTTATTTACACAATATAGAAGAGCAACTGCATGGCCTGCAACATAGCTTTAGATGATTCTTTTGTTCCTGTTACGTCTGCGATCCGTGATGACAAACCTTTTTAGCCAATCCCAGCAATTCGTCTCCTGGTGGCAGTTATCACTATTAGAATTTTGATGAATTTCGTGACAAGGCTCGTTCAATTCAGACGAATTCATTTCAAAGATTTCCCATTCAATTAAGAATCGATGGTTCTGGGACATATAAAATACGTTCTCCGCGTTCGCCTGTCGGATAAAACGCAGGAAAAGATCGACTCCTGTAAAACGTCTGTAGAGCCCCTCATTTTCGACGTCGGTCAAGCGACCGGCATCGAATTCAATGCACACATAATGTTATGTTTAATAAGTTATTACTAGTAATAGTTAACACTACAGCTGCCCCCGCTGTGTATATTGTCGGTCACTATAGCATTCTTGCTCGTTGTGTAGCTCTGTAAAATATACCAATTCATAAGAAAGATTTTCACACATATTCCATACAATAGGTGAGATAAATACAGGAAACGCAAGGTTCCATGCACAGTTTCAGGCCCAGGGTTTCAGGTCGATTTACACAGCTTTGATCAAAACATTCTCAGTTTCGAGAATAGTTTATTCAAGCCATAAGAAAAGATTTAATTAGAAGTTGAATTTTTCGCCATTTCTCTATCACTTTTTACCGAAGTTCAGTTCATTTTATTTGCCGGAAAGGAAGCTTTAGAAATTAAAAGGACGTTTGATCAATTCACACTCGCGCATTCTAGTCTTATTTTAAACTTTATAGCGGAAGGACATCTGTGCCCCAGGAAATAAGTCAGCACAGAATTTGATTGTCGGCGAATTTCTTTAATCGGCCCTAAAGAAAAAGGTGGTCTCTCATTGCCTGATTTTGACATAATTAACAATGCTGTCAAAGCAACTTGGATCAGAAGACTTGACAGCTGTCATCCCACCGCGAGTTGGACTCACATTCCTGTTTCCCTGCTAGAGCGAGTTGGTGGTCTCTTTCTCCTTAAATGTAACTTTGAACTTAAACATCTTAACATCCACATTCCATTGATCTTTTACGAGAAAGCCTTGTTGGCCTGGCAATCCATAAATTCGTTCACTCCCTCCTCAAAGGAAGAAATACTGAATGAAATCTTATGGAACAACCGCTTTATTAGGATCAACAATTATTCAGTATACTATAAAGCATGGCATGTAGCGGGTGTTGAAAAAATTGGAGATCTCTTCAACGGCAATACCTTTCTATCTCACCAAGACTTCTGCTCTTATTTTGGTCTTAAAACTAATTTTCTTACCTACTACGGTTTATGCAAAGCAATTCCTCCTAACTGGATTAAAATAATGAAAGGTAAATTACAACCGCCTTCGAATAAATCCATAAGTATGGATAGAATTCCCGTTGAGAAGCTTTCTTCTAAACTTGCTACCAACTTTTTGTTGAAAGAAAATTTGTTCCTGCCACCGCAAAAAAAAAGACTGAGAAAAGCTAGTTTAAACGAACAGCAAATTTCTCAAATTTACAAGATGCCTTTCAGTGCTACGAAAGACATACAACTCTCAATGTTTCAGTTCAAGATCTTACACCACATCTTACCCACTAACGCTACATTATATAAATTCGGAATTAAGGAACATGACCGCTGTCATTTATGCGCTGAAAAGCAAACAATCACACACCTATTTGTGACTTGCCCCAATGCTCAGCTGTTTTGGACACATTTTACAGTTTGGTGGCGCGAAAAAAACAACATTGAGATCTCGCTTTCTGAAGCACAAACACTTTATGGCATTACAGACACCGTGCCTCAGTGTCTTGGTTTAAACCTCTGCTTGATAATTGCAAAATACTATATTTACACCGCGTCTAAAAATGAGGAAGATTATTTTTTCGACGCTTTTTTGTCTATCCTTAAAAATAAAATACAAATTGAAACTAGCAAAGCAAAGGTGCAAGTCAAGCTGTAAAAATAATTTTATTGATTCTGGCTAATTTCCCTTGTTTTTTGGCTTTTTTGTTTTGTTTGTTTGTTTGTTATTTATTTATTTATTTATCTATTTTTTTGTCGTTTTTTACGTATTTACTCTCCGTTAATAGATAGTAAGTTAGTAATTAGTTGTAGTAGAATTCTTTTTTCATTATTTTGTAACAGTCTCCAACTCATTGGCTCCTGTTTTGTAAGCATTATCTTGTAAGTTTATATTATGTAAGTATGTAGTATTTAACTTAGCAAGTTATATGTAAGTGGGTATTAAAGCTTTATGTAAGTAAGTAAGTACTATGTAAGTAAGTCAGCATTATGTTTGTAAAAACAATAAAAATTAAAAAAAAAAAAGAAAAAGAACATCTTGATTAATTTCTTCTAGTACCTGATGCAAATAAATGGAATTGACTCTTAAAAAAAAAAAAAAAAAATTTCTTTAATCGTCCATCGTTCTGCTAGTGAGAAGCGAGCCGTTGTTCACTCGTCTTGCTTGTTTGGGGCTGAGTCTTATTTCGGTCAAAGAGAGAGAAAGGTTTCCAAATGAAAGATTTGTGAACTCGTGTCTGGCAAACTCTCCAAGTCTTTATATATACATGTCCAGTTATACGCGCCTTGTAACTTCTTCTGCTCTTAACGAGTGTCGTTAAAATTTTGGTCCATAAATTTCACTGAAACAACTGCTCCACAGAATGTCACTGATAACACATAACGCAAAAGAGTGTCGAAGTATGACTGCACAATAAATGTCACAAAATCTGCCTGAGCGGTCCCTTGGGGATGTTCTTTCTTAACGTCATCCTAACCATTTCGTACTTGCGGGCGCAAACAATAGAAACGTCATCATTACCTACCGATTCCTCGCGGCCCCTGTTCAAGCAAATCGAGAGTTTTTCTATATTGACTGTATGACTGTAGATTTCAACTGTAACTACTTTCCTTAATATACGCGCAAGTTACTGGAGTGCCTCCTCGGGATTTCGCCCTCTGGGCGAAATCGCTGCGGGGGCAATAAAGTGCGGAAATTGAGCCGTCAGTCTGTTTTGACGCCGGTTTCCTTCACTGCGCATGGGCACATGTTCGCTTTACCATCATTCTCAGAGCCCATCGCTTCTTTTGCTCGATTAAAACCGAGAGTCTCTGGGGACGAGAATGTTGAATTAGCACCAATTTTGTTATTTTCCCGCGTGTAGTCGAAACATCATGGCTCTCTGGCGGAAAACATTCGTCACCGAGTCGCTACCGGGGGCTGTAATAAGATGTTTTATCTCGAGACAGCTCGTATCCGCCTGAAAATAATGTCAATTTTTTTTTAACACCCCCTCCCCCTCCTTCCCATAACGGCCTTCTCGAGCCTTGCTTCTCTGCATGTTGCTCAGACCACTACCCACCGTCCTGAATCCAAACATTTTTCATTACTCTTATTTCCTTTTTAGCCGGTAATCTCATAGTAGGAAGCGGTGAAGTCCTGGAGATCAACACGACTGCACCATCCATCGTTAATAACAACTGCCCCAGTTGCAATTACAACGCATCACATGAAAAAAGATCTTCCTCAAGCTCGAATGGTGAACATCTGGCTGCCGTGATTAGGTTCAGTGGTAACATTGAGTTCAGAAACGGTTCAACAGTCCAAGTATCTGGAAAGTATGGTCTGAGTATAACAAGTCAGAATGGACACATCTTAATAGAAACTGATATTGACATGACGTGTAGAGATAGGGTGCTGGATGAAACATGTCTCGGTGGGTTCACACAGTCATCAGTAAGGCCGTTGGAAGATGTCAATAACCCTCCTAGACTCTTATATAAAGGTAATGGAATCTGCTTTTATTGCCTTTCTCATATTTGCGTTTGGCTTTTCCTCTTGCTTTCACACTTACTTCCTGGGAGGTGGGTACATTAGGTAAAATAAGAAGGTGTGATAACGAACAGTAAATCGCTGAGTCTCTTTAACGTTTCCTTCGGAAGTAAATTCAGACTCAACCACGAGGTAAAATTGGTTTCCTTGGAAAGTCAGTGCAATATAATTTGATAGTTCAGAGGGATTTAACGTTTTGAAAGGACAAAAACATTGGCTCGAACTCCTGCCACATCTGAGGTCTAAGGTCATACTAGACGTGACCGATTTATTGCCACGATTTGTTTAACTTAACAGGGACAGGAGGAATATAACTCCATGGTAGAGCAGCTGCTACTAAGCAGGATTTTTGCATCTAGTCATGAATCACTGCTTTGCTCAGGGAACAGGTCCTTTATGGCTGCTGGTCTTCACTCAAGATTCCGTGGCCATTTGAGCCATAGGAAGCTCCCAGCTTCTTTGTCACTTCTCACACCTTCTTGTGACCTTTTATTATGTTTTGTGAGTGGCTAAAAAACAAATAGAGGAAATTCTAAATATGCTGATCTTCCAACCTTATACAGCCTAATTAAAGCTCATTTCTGCAAAGCCCATGTTCTCACAACAGGTAGAAAATATTGCTTTATGATCACAAACTTAGCGAGGATATTTCAATTACTGAATTTTTTTTAATATCTTATCATATTCTCTTAATTTTAAGAAATAGAGATAAGTTGCGTCCTTAGTATTACTCTCCCGAATAGAATGCTAGTCCATCAAAGGGAAGCGGCAGTATTATTTCGTGTGATACTTCTTTTTACCACTGGGTGGAGACGGACGAAGTGAAGTACTAGTCAATAAAAACCATGCGCTGCTTGAATTCCTTCCTCCATTTCTAAAGTCCGATAAAATACCACTTTTCTTGTACTCTAATGACTTAATAAGACTTCTTGGTGATGGTTAAGTTTTGTAAACGGGATTTTTAATGATTTTTATTTTCTTTACAGGTCTTGGTCCTGGTGGCCTCAAAAAAGCCGTAGATTTTAATTTGGACCTTCTTTGCGTACCTGGTTCTAGTCATGGCGGAATAGGACTGCCGGTTTCGGGTTATCCACTATATTCAGATCAACCATATGATCAACAGGACACAGTATCACTATTAGGAGGAAGCGGAGGTGAGATAAACTATTTTAAAATCACTTTGTGGCTCTGATGTAAGTACTAATGAGGGCTGGAATGGAAACTGGTCAATAAGAAAAAAGATAACAAGAAAATCTTTGGGCACACTACAATTACTGTACCTTACGGCATACTACCTACGACAAATCAGGCCTATATTAGAAGAATTAACTGTGTTTTAACTACATTTTACTAAAATTCTGGAAACTGCTGATTGTAAGTAAAGTAGTCATGACTGTGAAAGTTTTCAACCCAGGAGTCATTTCATTCGAATATGACCGTCCAAGTGAACGTAGTCCTGAATGACTGACAACCTGTGCTGTAGTCATCTTCAAAGTCAAAGTGAGTTGTATCACGTCAGTTGATAGTATAAAACTCTGGTTATTGGCCTGATTTGTGAATTAAGTCGCGATGTTATTGGCCATGAAGACTCGTAATGTCATTGGTGCGTTTCGATCCGTCTATTGTCAGAGTTAAACTGTCGATTATTGTTAGTCAAATTGTCAGTTGTCTAGTCATTCTCTCGTAATTAGTTTTGCTTGAGTGCTTCGATAAGTCGTTTGTGCGGTGCCGGTATCTGACTTCTCTTATAAGCAGCTGCTACATGACTCAGTACATCCCATGATCAATGTTCTCGTACACATTCGCATTCTCACAATGTTCACAGGGATTTTCAGAGTGACACGTGGTGGTCTACTCTAGGGTATTACTTTCTGTTTCCTCACTGTCGTTTTCAGTGACGTTGTCGATCACGTGGATGTCTTCAGCTTCTCTGCCATTCGCAAAAGCTACCTCTTCTCCCTCTTCCTTTCTATCCGTTGAACTTTCCACGTTACCCTCGTTCTCGGAAGTATTTTCTCCATTTTGGTAGCGTTATTAGAGACCTTTAGATTCTAGGACGAGAACGACTACGAGTACGAGATTTCACGTAAAGTGTTTTCGCGTATTCTCAAATAATAAGGAGCTTTAGCATCGACGAAGGCAACGGCAGCGAAAACGTCACTTTTAAAATGCATTCGGGTTTTTTCAATCTTGGTCGGGTTTATTCTAGTTTGCTGAAAATGGAAAATGTACGCAAATTTCACTGGAGTTGATTTCTTAAGGACTGCACTCAAGATTAGAGAGAGAAAAAGAGATTCGTCGTCGCTTGTTTACGTCCTCCATAAAACTTGCAATTAGGCATTTTTACGTCTTAGTCGCGCAAGGAAGGTAAAGAAATGTACAAAAAAGCGTGATGCACGTAGAAAGTTGTTGTTTTGCGTAATAAGCCTTTGTTTTTTTTTGACGTCCTCGTTGCCGTCGCCGTCGTCGTTGCTAAAACTCCCCACTGACTAATAGACACCCCGGATAGCCTCATTGTACATCTTTTCACCAAAACAAATTAGCACTGTTTTCTTTATTGAAAGAGATTAAGATATCTCCCGGGCGCAAAATAACCAGCGTATAACAGTTTATAACTTGTGTCCGCTAACACGACATTCTCGCTAAAACTCTTAGTAGAATGACAAAGACTATCATTTTTTTCCCGCCAAAATGACGCTGGTTCACACGGGCGCACTAACTCAGTAGCATTGAGGAAATCACGTACTCGTAGTCGTACTGGTCTTGGAATCTAAAGCTCTCTATTCTTTTTCTACCAAATCAATTCTTTGTCATTGATTAAGCCCTTATTGACTACAAACTCCGCAAGTCCATCTATGAACACATTCAACGCAGGAGGTTTGGTCACATAATCGTTATGAGGAACTAGCATTGAACACACTGAACGAGCTCGGTAATGTTTGTCACGGGAATTATTGGTTTATTTCGAAGCAACTGTCCGCGGGGAGGCCAGAATAGAATACCTCTAGAAGCTGCCATGATCTATAGAAAATCAAAAGTATGCTCTTTACACACCACTTAAAAAAAAATTACCATTTAATGGCAAAGGTTTCAGGTAAGTGATAAAAAGAAAGACATTACCATAAGGACGGTCTGTGAAAGAGTCAAAGACCCATAGAAGACAGACCATCTAAAAAATAGTCATATCATAAAAACTAGCTTAAAAGACAGACAATTAAAAATGTAAAAACGCATACGGAGATATGTACAAAAAAAAAACAATCAATAAAATAATAATAATAATTTAAAAACCTCACACATTTCCATCTAAAAGCTTCCTCACTCCTTTTTTAAAACTAGCAATAGTTGTTGCTTGACGAATAGGCAATGGAGGAGTGTTCCATATCTCCACGATCCTACTGGAAAAAAACTAAATGTATTAGTTCTAGCATGATTCTTTTTAAGAGTACATTCATCTTTTCCCCTTTAAGGACATCGATCAGAAACGGAGAAAGACTGTACATATGTAAATAGCTCAATGTTTATATAACCATTCAGGGCTGGAATAAAACGTCAAATAAAAATCGCTATATTTGTTCTAAGGACAACAAATCGAGCTTTTTTCTCCGTTGTTCGTAATCATCATTGGTCCCCGAAATAAACTTAGTTGCCCTTCGCGGAATTCCCTCCAACTTAGAAATCTTTCTAGATGTGTGTGGTGACCACAGAACACTAAAATACTCTAGCTGTGACCTGACCTGGGCAAGATACAGAGTTCTCAATGTGGAAACATCTTGAAATCCTTTACAGGTCCTTTTAATTAGACCTAGAATCTTGTTGGCCTTATTCGATATTTTATCAATATGAGTGCTCCAAAACAGATTGCAATCTGTAACCAAGCCAAGATCACGGAACTCAGATGTTACCTCCAGGATCGTATTATTTAAGTGTAAGTCAGAGTGAATAGGTGTTTTCCTTTTAGTGATATGCATTAGTTTAAATTTCTCCACGTTAAACTCCATGAGGTTTTGTTGACTCCATGCACATAAATTGTCGAGATTTGACTGAAATACGGAATAATCAGCTAGACAGTTTATAATCCTAGATGTTTTACAGTCGTCAGCATATAATGACACACAGTTTCCAGGCATCACTACTTCAAGCAAATCACTAATGAAAATTACAAAGAAGAAAGGGCCCAATAAGGAGCCCTGAGGTACCCCCGATGGAAGAGCTCACCATGTAGAATTCATTCCTTCTATGACAACTCTCTGTTCTCTGTCAGTGAGATAATCCTTACACCAATTCAAAAGCGCACTTGAGATACCAAAATTGCCCAATTTTTTGCAGCAGGATATTATGTGCCACTCCGCTAAATGCCTTTGCAAAGCGAAGGAAAACAACGTCCATCTGTTTGCCCTCATTCAAGGTAGCACATGAACCTCCCCTCACAAACCCGTGCTGCCAATCTGTCAGATAAGGAGCCACATGCGGGTATAAAGCATTATACACAATCCCCTCTTGACATTTACTCGGAATGGATAGTAATGAAATAGACCGATAATTTTCGACTACATCTTTAGAATCAGCTTTAAAAACAGGAGTAACATTAGCTCGCTTGGGAAAGACTACTCAAAACATCTTTCATCGTTGCCTCTTTAATTTATTACCGCTTTCATCATCAAAACTTCCGCTCTTTCATTTTTCACTATTGTGCTCTTTGTCAACCAAATCTATCTTTTTCTTCATCTCGAGAAATGCCGGTACAAAGGAGGCTTCGAATAAGTAACTAATAGCTTCGTTTCCTCTTTTATAGCATCAAAAAACCTAAGCTTGTAACAACAGGGACCACCGACTTGTACTAGAATTCGCTCCTTTGTAAAGTGGAAGACAATTTTTTTCTTAGGTCTACTTAGGAGCCCCTAGTCTACTACAGCATCTTTATATGACATATGACAACAATTTCCTTTTCTTCGGGGATTGGAATGTATTTGTTGTGTGCATTGGATTAATGCATGCATGAGTTATGGAGTGTCTGTTCGTAAGAGAAACTGTCGCTGATGAACTGGATAAACAGCTTACAGTTGAAGAAAATCACGGTTGTTCTTCACGACACGAAACAGTGCTACAACACGAGAAGTACAAGACAGAGTAGTCAGCTGAACATTCCGAGATGCCATCGAGCTGACGGTCAGCGGTCATTCTCCTACCGAGGGGTAAAGCTTTGGAGTGGCATCAGTGATAATGTTAAATCTACCGACTCAGTTAACAAGTTTAAGAAGCGACTTGTCAAACTAGCCCTTTCCAATCAAGAACCGGATTCGAAATAGCAAGTTTTAGTTCATTCATTATTTTTATTTTGTAATTATTCTTTTTTATAAATTACTGTTATTGATTCCTTTTTCTTACAATTTTCTTGCCTTATTGTCCTGTAACTTACAAGCCCTTTGAGGTATTTTAATAAAAGTCTGTGTGTATGTAACTGTAATTAATTAGCTATTTTAAAGCGGAGCTTCACGTTCGCGCGGGCGAGCGGAGCCCATACCTACGAAAATTAGGTAATCTATCTATCCGAGAAATTTTGTTAATCAAGTGATCGGACAACCATACGCCCATCCACCCGTCCGTCCGTACCACAGGGAGACCAAAATGTGAAATGTCTAATTTTCTAGCTAGTGTGGGAGCCCGTAACCTGTTTTTAACCTGATAATAGACATCCATATTATGGTCAATTGACAGGTGTCAAAACAGTATCTGCTTACCAGTGTCACATGACCGTATCGCCAGCTCAGATGCGTGTTTTTTAGAGTTTTCCGCGGACCAGTTGTTAGCTATTAAATGATCGCGGGCTCAAGTTTGTCTTAATTCATATGGTTTTTCCTTAAAGTTAAGTATAGTTTAGTCGTCTTTTCAATAGTTTAAAGTCCATTGGCTGCAGTAAATTTAAAATGCATAAATGGGAACTTCACTTTTAGCTTTGGCTACATATATATATTCGAAATGTGGTGGTGGTGAAGGAAAACAATAGAAATGTGGTGCTGGGGGTTGTGGAGGGAAAACAGTAAAAATGTGGTGGTCGTGGAGGAAGTCTAAGCAAAAAAATCTTTGGGTGGTAGAAAGAGCCAGTTTGCCTTCATCCTCCTTATCATGTGCAATTTTCGCGTCAAGAATTAGTGAACCGGGACCATGACTATAGGCTGTCTACAATGGACAATGACAGTGGCGGGAAATTTATCGTTTATGGTTACTTTACGGCTGAGTGATTTTTATTCACAAGCTTATTCCTTCGACAACATGAATCAACCAATGAAAATTTTTCTTAGCTTCAAGTTCACCAATTAAAAATCAAGACTGAGCCATTGCCCTAAAAATTACTAGAAAACCTTTCAGACCGGTTAAAGAGCATAAGAACATGACAAACAGGTTCAACCGGTCAAGGTTAGGTGAGACTATTGTTTCTATTGTATTAGAATTAAACAAAAGGAAGATAATGAAATTCCACCGCATCTATAATTTTATTCAAATAAAGATTCCTCTCTAAAAAGTTCAAGTCGATCCTTACTATACTACTAAACCAGAAAATATCCCATCTACAACAAAAGAATAGAACAAATAAACTCGAAAAAGAGTTGATATAAGTATGCAAAGACAAACGAATGTTACCTATCAGTGGTGAAAATAAAATTTTTGTCGTGATAAAATGTTTAAAATTTGTATTTTTGCTGTTAATTCTAACCTTTTTTTAACCTTAGGTTCATGTGCTCATTGCCCAGGAAGTGTTGCTGGTGGAGGAGCCATTGAAATTGTAGCAGATAAAGGATGCATAACCATAAGTATAAACGATTAGCAAATTCTTTGTAAACTATTTACTATGTAACTTGTTAACAACGTAGAACCCTGAAAGGCTGAAACATGCCCAGGAAAAATATAAGTCTGATGACAACTGCTACAGGAGCAGAGATAGTGCTCGGCTTCCGACAATAACCAGGATGACCTTGTAATTGAGTGTATTACTCATTCTCCTGATTTCTATGCAATACTGCTAATCTTTTACTCAGAAGCTTTGTTTTAATCATCCTATCATCCTGTATCTATCTCAGTCTTAAAACTGTTCCTTGCAGAAGAATCTTAAATGACCCAATCAGCAGAAATTCGACATTTCATTAACAGCCTGTTCACACCACGCCTTCAGGAAATTTTTTTTTCCTACTATCATTTGTTTTATTATTTATTGATAAGGAATATGTTTCTTCGATGACACATTTTAATTCAATACTTTTTAGATGCAATCATCAGAGCTTCAGCTCAGCGTGAAACAGTGGAATCATGTTCTGGTGGATCTGGTGGACTTATTCGTCTTAACGCTTCTCAAGTAATCCATGACTTTAATGTGTAGTTCACAGCGACTCATTATTTTTGTGGCTTGTTTTTTTTTTGACAGCAGGATTCCTAAAGGCAAAGTTTGAATCTGTATCTAGAACAGTCTGCAAAATTCGCAGTAATTTTTTTAATTAGCAGCGAAGTTTGACTAGGTGTAACTACGGGACTGCCTCTTTCGCAGTTACCGTACTGAACATTTATGTAATCCACAACCTCAACTTTTCAATAGAGGAGTGGTTCTTCTCTGTATTAAAAAGGTGTGCATACGTCGCGAATGATGATTTTAAACTATAGGAGAAGTGCGACGCTGAATACATGCCAAAGTAAAGCTGTCTCAAGTAACAAACAAAAGAAGTAAAAATCAATAGAGGAGGCCTTTTTATTACACGTACAAACGATCCCTTGAATCCCCGCTACTTCTTCAAGCCTCTTCTTCCATTTTCAGACGGAGTAGGGTTGTTCGGAGGCTGAAATATCAACATTTTCATACGACTTGGTTTTGGTGAGAAGAATAGCGGTCGAGACGCGAACACAGACTGATTTGATTGCATATTTTTTGGAAAATCAACAAATAGATACACCGAGCACTTAACAAAGCAGAGTTTCTAAGATTGGTGAAGTAATACTGCAAAACTGCATTAATAGAGTGTAGCCACCATGATTTCGTAAGCTCCACATGCTACATGAGGTTTATTTTCCGAATCCGCAAAATTAGTACTACTAATCTTTAATTTTATCTCCACAAATTTTGCTACCCCCATTTCTGAATAAAACTCTCACAGATGCTTATTCCAGATTCTACTTTAAAAAAATGATTCTTATCACAAGGTTTAATCTTATCTCAGATAATGGGTTAGAAAGTATTTAGGTGTTACCTTGCTCTACTCTTACGAAGGAGAACAAGTGTTAAAATAGGATCTATTTATAACTCAGAAAGGAAATGATTCAAATTTCGCCTTTATGGCTAAATTAATATATAAACAGTTAAATTGGATGTATGTAACATCGTTCCCAGGGTAGAAACAAGGTCAGAGAGTATGTCTGCGTTTTTTGGGAAAATCGCCAAATCCGGATATCCGGATCCAAAAACGGATGTTGCTTTTTTCAGATGTGACAAGACACTAAGGGTCGATCCAACGTTTTGGTTTTGAACTTTTCACTTGTTGCCTGATTTTATACCCAATTTAACCATGATTTTCATTGCTTTATTTTCTTTAGGTTGAACTAAAGGAGCAAGGAAAACTCATTGTTGATGGGGGAAACGGCAAACGAAGAATTGGACCAGGGTTGGGTGCAGCTACCGGTTTGGGTGGTGGAGCAGGTGGAATTATACAGATAATATCACCTGCTGGTCGCTTGCCCCTTGAAGCTTTATCTCTAAAACGAGGCACAAACCTTGGGTCGTGCGGCAGAGAGGCAGGACATGGATATTACTATTTTGTAGGAGGTAATTTCAGTTCGCGGACTATCCGGAAATGTATACTCCCTGTTTCCCCCTTACTAGTTCAGGTGAGTATGTACATGCAGTTGGGCAATACATGAAGCCATTTGCTTCAACTCCAAAATCAGGGGGAAGGGTAAGAAGGGAAAGGGATCTGCGCTGTCATAGGTTCACCATCAATGGAAATCGAAAGCGAATTCAGCGTAACCAAATATTTCACCGCAAGTATGTCTTGTTATTACCAAGGTTAAGAATCCTACCGCTAAAACCCGTTGGCAAAGAGACAAGTTTTCTTGATAAGAAGACATATTGTCATTGAACGGGTACGAAAGAAGTTGTCGAATACGTTGCCGTGTGTAGTTTCTAAACGTATACGCGATTATTTCTTGCCGACATTTGATCATTGTTATTTTGTGGTTTGAAATTCTGGTTAGGGAACCCTCTAGATTATATCCATCCCGCTGCGGATTGGGGTGGGAGCTTTTCATGTCTGATGAAGTATAAAAAATAAAAGAGATCTAACTTGTTTATCTATTTAATGTCAGATAACTCCAGCGGGGCCAATGTGGGGATATATCCTTCTATAAATCCATATAACTGGAGTTCAAGTTCGTCTTTTTCAAGTCCATTACGTTGCTTCAGCGTCACACCCACACAGCAAAGTAAGTCAATCATCATTCAGTCCATCCTATGTAAATAAAAAAAATCAGATTAAGCTATAAGATGGTGATGTCCTGTCCTCTCAACAATTGGTAACAACCTTTTAAGTTATTTTAACCTGTTAAGTAAAATATTCGCCTTATTTTCGTTTTTTTCTGAAGAGTCGATATTTGTAAACCTTGCTTCAAAAGTAAATCGTACTAGTTAGATACAAGTAGTGGTAGAGGGTCACTTCACGCCGTTTAGGTGTATAGGTATTGTTGGTTTTCACATGACGTCAATAAAATTCAAACTAAAAACCTATCGATCCTACTTCCACGACGCATTAAAACTAATTTTCATACAAATTTTCGCTTCAAAAGGGTTCTTGGTTTTGTGATAGAGTACGCTTGAATTTCTAAACTTTTGCGTGACGCGGCATTTACATGACGGCCAAGAGAGTTGTCATGTAGGTTAAAAAAATTACTTATTTCAGGACATTTTGCTATCTAAACAGTTTATGTATTAGAAAAAGTATTACTTTAATGTTTATGAGTTTCTCGAAGAATAAATTCACGCTTTTGTAGCAAAACTCGTTAACAGATGTTTCTGTTGGTTTCCGTCCGCCATGTTGGAGCTCATCCAGGTGAGCACCAGCAGGGCGTTTGGGTAAAACATTTCCTCGGATATCTCGTATACGAAATCTTCCTCTGACCTGAATCTTGGCAAGGGTCTTTGTATATGTACCTCCTTTCATTTTCCAGATTTTGGACTTTTTCTATTGAACGGTTTTGATTTTAATTTGGATCTATTTTGAATGGTGTGACACTGAAAACCAGCAATAGGTTTGGGTATAGGTAAATCATTAATATTCACACAGTGTGTTGCCCGGTATCCGCACACTTCAGTTTAACATTGCAATAACTTTCCTTTGTCAGTCGCAAGAGCTCTGAAATTTGGCCTAGAGAAAATCTATTTAGTCCTTAATATCACGAAAGACAGTTTTTGCCTTTGTTTCCATCGCGAAATTAATATTTTTGCAGAGCTCATGTTGCCCAGTATCCGGACACAACAATAACAACGAACAATAACAACGTAATTGTACATACATGTCGATAGGCAAGCGACTTAAAAGCTTCTCTTGCACTTACAAAGTAGTCTGGCAATCGATTCCAAAAATATAACCTAGCATCCTGAAATAAAACATAACAAATGACTGGGGTATGGTGGAGAACGCGAGCGGCTGTTAAATGGTATAATTCTTACTTTCTTGTCCAGGAACTTTTTCACTGATTTAGGGAAGTCATCCGTGGACATGCCGTAGCCGCGGTTTGCAAGCTAAAATAGCCAATCTACAAACGCCCTTTTTCTTCATTTTTTCGTTACAAAAAAAGCTTGGGAAAGGGACCTCAATACGACGGTCAAAGGTCACTCCCCTATTTAGTCTGACCTGCATTGTTGATTTCTTCATGCTCAGTCCCCACAATAAGTCTGCTTTTCTAGCACTGATTCCTCCTTCTTTCACGTCTGTCAATCCCTTTGTGGCATTTTTCAGACCGTTGTAGCCCCATTCTAGCAGTCACAACTGGGGAAAGTATGAGAATTTCGGATTCAACTCCGACGCTTCCGGTTATATATAGAAAATGCAGTCACGCGAAACAAGCCGTGCACACGAAATCAAGTCGCCTCTGAATGAGTGAAGAAAATTTCCATACGGAGTTGAGTAGAATTACATTTTACGACTATATCATATATCCTAAGCTTTAATTATAGTTATAGATATAAAATAAATCTTATCCGGATAATGTACACGGCTAATTCATCGATTCTGTACAGCCAAGAAAAAACTGTTCGGGGACTGGGCAGCTGACATCAATACTTAGTGAATGTTTCCGGCCTCCGTTATTCAAAACAAATCGAATTTCAAGAAGAATTAATAAACTTTCTGACAACCTGACTTCTTTAAGTATCTTCCCTTTAAATATAAAACAGTTTCTTTGAAAATATCACATATTACCTGGACCCTTTTCTGAGCAGTACTAATTTTACTGCGCAGTAAACAGCGTAAATATTAGCCATGAATAGTTTACTCTAGTGAACAGAACGGCGTCTTCTGCGACTGTTTCGCAAGCTTTAAACTCGCCAAAACATTCATCTTAGAGCTGAAATGTGCAGCTTTCATTCGAAACACTTCGTTTACCGAGAACTGAAAAGGCCTTTTAAGCGTCCGGATATTGGTACCGTCCGGATACTGGGCAACATAATGTATACCTTCATGCATACTAATTCGGTGTAGGTTTACTCTTATTCGTTCAATAGCAACGATAGGCTTGTGCAGACTTGCCCGTTAAGTAACTTTAGCCCGGTTTGTCGGACCGACTATAAAAAAAAAATTAAATAAGAGGAGCGATCACCTAGCAACGCGAGAAACGGCTGATTATGTCTTCTTATTTAGCGCTAAAAATCGGACATATTAACAAAACACAATGTTCACAGGGATTTTCAGACTGAAAGGTGGTGGACTTTTCAAGGCTACTTCTTTCTGTTTCCTGACTGTCGTCTTATTTCATTGCCGTTTCCGCTCTCTATGGGTGCCTTCAGCTTCACTGCCATTCTTTGAAACCACTTCCTCTTCTTCTTCCTCCTCCACCTGCTCCTCCTAATTTTCAATATCCGATGAACTCTCGTCATTATGACTCTCGTTATCGGAAGTATCTTCTGCATTTCGGTAGCCTTTTTCCTTTTCTATTAAATCACTTAGCAACTTTTTGTTCTTGATTAAACCTTTATCGAATCCTAACTCTGCAAGTTCATCTAGAAACGTACTCAGCGCACGAGGCTTGGCAACGTCATTGTTATGTGGGAGTAGTGACACGTACTCAACTAGGTCGGCGATGTTTGTGACGGGAATTATACGTTTATTTCAAAGTAATTGTCCTTGGGGAGTCCAGAAAAGAATATCTTGTGAAGCGACCATACTATGCAGCAATTCAGAAGCACGCTTTTCCTACACCGCTTGGGGAAGATAACTTAAAACATCTTTTATTCTTGATTTACCTATACCTATGCACCAAAACGGCGTAAAATGACCTTCTATCACTACTGACACATCCTGTTTTTGACGTTGTAAGATTTAATTGGCAGTTTAAACACATTGCCCCTTTCAGTTAGGCTTCTAGCTTTATCCTCATTCGCTGATACAGGTAATACGGTGTAAACATTACTTCTATAATTGGAAGCAGTTACAATTAAAGAAAACAACGCCACCGTACGTAAGTGTTCCGAAGGTGAAAGACAGTATGATTAATTCAAAAACAAAAGGGGCTCACGAATAAAAGATTGAGAAGAGAATTAAGTTCAATTTACTGGTAAGACGCACGTGGAGTAACTTGACTGATTCTTTTTTACCTCAACCATATTGCAGCATCGTCCACATTTCTTGCAATCTCATCTACAACATCGACCTACACTGGTTCAACTGTAAGTTGTACTTCATCTCAAGCAGTACCCACAACACCAGGTATGCACTCAACTGTTTACATTTATTTACATATCCATCGCATAACTGTGTGACCTCAATATACACATATACATATAATTGTCCCGTAGGTCAAAGAAAGAGTCAATAAATAAAACGCTGCAAAAGAATATGATTAATTAAAAAACAAAAGGGGCTTATGAGCAAAAGATTGAGAATTAAGCTCAATTTACTGGTAAGACGCGCGTGGAGTAACTTGACTGATCTTTTTGCCTCAACCATATTGCAGCATCGTCCACATTTCTTGCAATCTCATCTACAACATCGACCTACACTGGTTCAACTGTAAGTTGTACTTCATCTCAAGCAGTACCCACAACACCAGGTATGCACTCAACTGTTTACATTTATTTACATATCCATCGCATAACTGTGTGACCTCAATATACACATATACATATAATTGTCCCGTAGGTCAAAGAAAGAGTCAATAAATAAAACGCTGCAAAAGAATATGATTAATTAAAAAACAAAAGGGGCTTATGAGCAAAAGATTGAGAATTAAGCTCAATTTACTGGTAAGACGCGCGTGGAGTAACTTGACTGATCTTTTTACCTCAACCATATTGCAGCATCGTCCACATTTCTTGCAATCTCATCTACAACATCGACCTACACTGGTTCAACTGTAAGTTGTACTTCATCTCAAGCAGTACCCACAACACCAGGTATGCACTCAACTGTTTATTTACATATCCATCGCATCACTATGTGACCTCAATATACACATATACATATAATTGTCCCACATGTGAAAGATAGAGTCAATAAATTAAACGCTGTGAAATAGTATGATTAATTTAAAAAGAAAAAGGGGCTCATAAGCAAAAGATTGAG